GTGACCTTTAAGCACTTGAAACTGTATTTTACACGTGCATGCTGCAACATAAATTATATTTGTAATATATGTACATTTTTAAGAGTTGTTTCCCCCTCTCCCTCTTGTCCTCCAGGCAGCACATCTACAGTAGTGCCATGGCAGGAGGAGTAGCGACCCCCCCCATGCTGATAGTGTTTCACGACAAATACACAACACTGGACCCTCTGTGGCACGTCAGACACCTCGGTGAGATCCTCTGTGCCAATCAGAAGCTAGCTTAGCATCGGAAATGCTAAGCTAAATGAAACAACATTTAAGGTGTTTAGAGATGTGAGAAGTACTCAGATCTTGTTCTTGAGTAAAAGTAGAAGTACTCAGATCTAGTACTTGAGTAAAAGTACTCAGATCTTGTACTTGAGTAAAAGTAGAAGTACTCAGATCTTGTACTTGAGTAAAAGTAGAAGTACTCAGATCTTGTACTTGAGTAAAAGTAGAAGTACTCAGATCTTGTACTTGAGTAAAAGTAGAAGTACCAGAGTGTAGGAATACTCTGTTACAGTAAAAGTCCTGCATTCAAAATGTTCCTCAAGTAAAAGTAGAAAAGTATTCTCATCAAAATATAGTGAAAGTAGCGACAGTAAAAGTAGTCATTGTGCAGATTGGTCCATTTCAGAATAATATATATGATATGTTTTATAATGATTGATCATGAAAGTGTTCTCAAAGCTGGTAAAGGTGCAGCTAGTTTGAATGACTTTGTATACTGCAGGGTAGCTTGTGGATTTACTCCAGTTTTATATCTTATTTAAAAATAAGATATAAGTGTGAAATGATGCAGTTTTAACTCGTAAATCTCTCCTTTGCAGGCTGGAGTCCAGACGCCCGTTATGCAGAGAGTTTCCTGCAGGAGGCGCTCTTGCTGCACTGGAACGGCCCCTTTAAGCCCTGGAGCTACCCTGCTGTGCACCTGGACCTGTGGGAGAGGTGGTTCGTTCCAGACCCCTCCAGAAGGTTCTCCTTGGTACGACCCAAGAGTGAAAGCTAAAGAACATACCGGCCCAGTTCCAACACACACTCTCTCTCACACACACACTCGCTCTCTCTTTCTCTCCCACACACACGCAGACAGCCGTTTCTTATTTTTGGAAACCTGTGTACTGTTTTTAAATGTGATGTTTATAAGCTACCTGTAAATAAACAAAGCTTTCGAATCAAATGTCTTCTACACTTCTACTGTTTTCTGGATTATACACGGGTATACGTTTATATCCTTAAAATACAATGGAATCTTCTAGTTTCTAACATCTGTATAATAAAACTGTCTTATTTTGGGCAGTTCACTAGTAAAAGTTTGCAGGGAGGATGTAATTGTGTTTTTTTTCTGGCATTTTAAAAATACTATACCAAGACTTTCATTTGACATAGTATTCTCGGGAAACTCCAGTTTAAGGCCCCGTCCACACGGAGACGAATACGAAATCAAAAAAGTCTTCCGTCCACACGAGACCGCTGGAGACGCTGTAGTACATATGCCGGGCCTGTAGGTGGCGCTGTACTTTCGCCACAAAATACACCAAAAGCAGCGAAGAAGACCGATGACGATTATAATTATTATTATATTATTATTGTTGCTGATGGTTGTGGTAGAGGAGCATACATACATATATATACATACAGCACTAAAATCTGTATCATGGTTAGTAGCGTCTGGAGCACGAACGCAACCCTGTGATCCGCCATTCTTTCACACACACATACGGGTATTGGGCCGAGGGCGACACCGTACTTCCGGTATCCGCCATTTTACGCGAGGTGCAAGCAGGCCGAGGGTTTAGCCGTGTTACTTACTTGTTAGCTACAATACTGGTAGTACCAAATTATATCAATGGCCAATGATGAGGTTGACTAGTCAGAATCAGAATACCTTTATTAGTCCCACAGAGGGGAAATTTGCATCGTTACAGCAGGAAAGAGCCACATACAGCTTAATGTTACCTATGTTAAGAAAAAAGTACTTAGTTATGATATAACAAATATAATAAAAAACGTGAGAAGTAAGAAAAAAAAAATACTTTAACAGTCTAGGTGTTGCTAAGCTTCCTGTACTGAATATCATAGTCTATTGCCTTAATCAATATCTAGTCAACTCTAAAATAACACATATATGCAATGGCACGATAATATTATTGTGACAAGTGGGGTATTCACCTGGTGTTTCCAGAAGATAGACGTAGATGCTGCCAAAATCAACCGAAGGCCACTTTCGGCCTAGTGCGCTTTGCCTGGCTACGTTAGCTAGCTGTTTATATTTGCACCTCCAGGAAAATGGCGTATTTCGCGCGTTGCATTGTGGGTAGCTCGTGACGTCACCGTGTGCGAAAGAATTGTTGTTGATGTTGGCGAAACGCATCAGCAATGACGCGGTTAACGCGGGGGTGAGCAGGAGAGGCGGGGCTATGGCGTCATCGTTTTAAGGGAATGATCGTATAGGGCGTACACACGGAGCCGCAAGCGTTTCGTCCTCAGACCTACCCACTTTGAGAGCCGTTATCAACATGTATCGGATTCGGGCTCCGAAGCCGCGTTTCCGATAGAGAACGTTAGCGGATTCAACTGATATCGTCTCCGTGTGGGCGGGGCCTAATTTAATCCCTTTTAAATAGTAAATTAAACTTGACTATAAATAGGATGAGGCACTAACACTATGATAATCCTGTAGCACGCACACACACACAAACATTTAAACCAACAGTTTTTATTTGGATTCTAAGAACTATATTGACATGATTGACCACAAAACCCAGCTCAGAAAGTAATTTCTAATTAAAAAATATAAAAATAAATAAAAAGGATGATGTTAATGTAGCTGTAGAGAGATGATTAAAAACTGGAAGCAGACGTCGTGTTTCCCCTCAGCCGGGTTCACTTTAATCTCCTTTAACGAAGTGTCATCGAGATGTATTTAATTAGTCCTCCAGCAAACTGTTTCTAAATGTTTCCAATAAACAACACAGCGGTGATTCAGTCTGTAAACAGCGTAAACACAACAGACTGATAACGCTTTTTAACATACATGAGAATATGGAAATATCACCAGCTGATAATATCTTTTGAGATATGTTTCAAATTCATTATAATCGTTGAATTGTATTTTTAAGCAAAACATGTTGGAGTGTCAGCTCATCAAATGTCTAATGGGTTAAAGTTAAAACTACGGAAGCCCTGAAGGCCACATTTTTTGCTGATAAACCATTTTCTAAGTCTGATCAAAACTGTTTTTATGTTTAACTGTTCTTTATAATACGATCATGTTTTTCATCTGTAATAATTGTAATCGTTCCCAAGAAGTGCATCACTACCTCATGTCGTATACAGCGGTGAAAGCATTCGTTGCATTGCAGTCCAGGAACACGATGTAGATTGTGAGTTAGCAGGTAATGAAACATTGATGTTAATTAAAACAAATAATTCAAAAAATCAGCTGCTGAAACGTCCCTGTTTGTACAGAGGAGACATTTCTCTTTTTAAATCAGACTTAGAAAGTGGATTACAAGTGTTTTTTTTTTTAATCTAAAATGTGGAGTGGGAGTGGAGAGTGTGTGTGTGATTGCAACCTGATGTTTGTGAACACACCATATTCTCCTATTTCTTTATTAAAAGCCAGCGAGGTGCAGAACCCGGCAGCGGGGAAAAAACTTCACGTCTGACATTTATCCAGAACATTTTAAAAACACCTCCTCTAACACCAGCTTAAGGACAACTGTGTTAACAAAAAAAAGAAAAAAAAAAGGGGTTTTAATTGTACATTTAGTCACATGAATACAGAATAAACAAATGGCACATTGAATTCCTAATTTTAAAAATAAAGTGGTGCTCGAGGAACTTTCTTACTGAGGAGACGAGTTAAATAAATTACTACCATAAACGTTACATACAAATCTGGAGTAGTATATACAAAGGAGTTATTAGACACAAAAAAAAAATCTACAATTTTTAAGTTTAAAGACAGCAGTAGAACCGTTTTTTTACATAGCAAGGTGTGTGTTAACAAGTGGTTTCTGTGTGTGTGTGTGTGTGTGTGTGTGTGTGTGTGTGTGTGTGTGTGTGTGTGTGTGTGTGTGTGTGGGGGCAGTCTGACAAACCATGGATATAAAAAAGTGACGCGTTTAAGTGAGGGAGATTTCTGTACGTGACTTTCTAAATCCCAGCATCCTTTGAGGAGACGTCAGGTATTTTTCTCACTGAGTTCATTTCATTAGCTGTTATGATTAAAGCTGCGTTCACCTCTGACCTTTCTATGAGCAACCAATCAGATTACAGATGAATGTAGCGTCCAAAACAACCAGAAACAAAATGGCGCATCATGTGAAAGCAGCTTCAAATCCTCCGAGATATTACAAGAGAAAGCTCTGAGAGTGAGTCTGTACGTGTCCACAGTCCTTGTTTAACCTACAGTAGATGGCTGTTAAAGGGGGCAGCAGCTAAAATAAACAAGTGTGTGAAATTTAAACTCTTTTAACCGTGTGATAATACAATCTGTGTCAGACGGGAACTGGACAGTATGACATAAATCCGCTTCAGTTCCCCCCCGTTACAAATGTGAAGTGAGTGAGAATTCAAAATCTAGCGTGCAGACCACCATCTACTGTAAGTCATACAACCGCACACCAAAGCATCTCTTGAAACCAAATGAAATGCCACCAAGCAGAACATAAGGTTGTATTTCTAAGCTCTTGAAATGTGGATGTTTTGGAGATTCAAAGATGTATGCTAGTTTTCCAGTTGTGATTTTACTCGTATCAGTTCACTAGCTTTCAGCTCGTGGATTAGCTTCTAACGGCTAACTAAACAGCTGTTCATGAAGCATAACCAAATTCCAACTGAACTGATAGTTTGATAAGATGTTAGTTAATTGAATGTATCACCAAATTAGCATCAGTAGCTACTAGCTAATGTAATCTGCTTAACCCTCAGGTTTCTCTGAAAACTCACTCAGTGGAAAAATACCCGACTTTCCCGACAGTTCCTGACAATATCCATCTTTTTAAAAAAAACATTGTCTCTCCGAAGCATCTCATGATATCCCTCCTCTGAATCTCCTCCCACCTTTTTTAATAAAATAAAAATTCCGTCAGCGTCCCTTAAATCTGTCGATAGTGGTTGATCTGAGTAAAAACAGAGCTCAGTGAGGGAGGATTTACGTCTACTTTGTAAACACTTTTAGTGAAAGTTCACACTCAATACCTGACAGTAACTCCCCCTTACACCCCCCCCCCCCAAATCATTTTGATTTCTGCGACTCATTCATGGCTTTCACAGTATCTTCATCGCCCACACACTGCATCTTTCTGGGTAATATTTTTGAAATATGACAAAAAGAAAAAGGGAAATCCTTCATGAACCGTCGTTGAAAAGCTCCTCGTCCGTCATTTCCCCCCTCTTGATTTCCTCCATCGGGCAACGAGAGGAACGACGAGTGCTTGCTTTCAGAAGTGTGTGTTCCTCATCGCCTGAGTCCTGTTGTGAACACGGAAACGTTGAGTACCCCAACGTTTTATGATAGAAATGTATAGCACGGGTCTCCAGCTCATAGAAACGGCCGGATGCTAACTTAGGGCAATTTGCACTAATAGCATTCGTGCGTTAATTAGCAAATGGAGACAATATTTTGGTCCGTTTTGGAGGTTATTGAAAAAAATTGCCATATATTTACTCCCTGTGGGCTGATTTTGAAGTCTTAGGGGACTCTGGGTCATTTGAAGTGAACGTAATAATTGTCATTTTGTCCTCCCTATATCCAATGGTCACAAAGGTAGTCAAAATCAGCCCACCAGGACTACAACTATGGCCGCTTTCTGGTTAAAACTGCAATTTTTTTATCCTTAAAAATGTGAGAAACATCCTCAATAACCTCCAACATTGTCTCAAACTATTGTCTGCATATGCTAATTAATGCTAACTGCCCAACATATGCAAGTTAGCATCCAGGAGTTTCTATATGCTGGGAACCCGTACTGTGCATTTTGAGGTTTCAACATCTCGTGGTCACACAGCTGGCAGGTCCACTACAGGTTTTGGTCCATTTTTTAGATCGTTTTTAGGCTCATCCAGAAATGCTTCAATTCGTCTTCGTGCATACTTCGTGGTCCGGCTGTCGGGGGGGGTGAGAGGCTGCGTCTCCGTGGTGACACGACAGCGAGTGGTTCATCA